CGTTGTGTTACGTTTGATCGTTATTTTACAGATTTGAAATTATGTGACGCTTTATTAAGTAGAAAGATGACGTCAGTCGGAGTTGTCGAACACAGACGGTCTTTTGTACCAAATGAATTGAAGATTTGTCGAAAACAATTACATTCATCATGGTTTTATTTTTCGGAATCATCTATGTTATTATCATATCAAGCAAAAGAAAAGAAGAAACCTGTTATTATGTTATCATCATTACATAAGTACCCAGAAACATTCGATGATGACAAAATCTTACCATGTGTAATCCACGACTATAATCAAACAAAATGTGGAGTAGATGTTATTGATCAATGTATCAATCATTACACGGTGCGTCGAATTACCCGTCGATGGCCAATGATCGTATTTTATAATCTCATTGATATTGCAACAACAAACGCAATGACAGTTTGGTTATGTCAAAACTTGGATTGGAATTTGAAAAGGTCTAATACTCGACGTATATTTTTGACACAATTAGTTAAACAACTTGCACACCAACAAAACCAACGTCGTAGTGAAGAAGCTCGTCTGAAACCCAAGGTGAAACTAGCTTTATCATCACTTGGTTATAGCATTCATCCGGAAAGCTTAAAAGATGTTAATACTAATGTTCAATTAGATCCAATTAAAAAAAGGTGCTATTTATGTCCAGCGAATCCTGGACGAAAAGTTCGACAAACATGCAACAATTGTGGACTCCATGTTTGTCTATCACATTCAAAGAATATTACAATGGTCACGTGTCAGACATGTTCAGAAAAATAATAGGAATGTTTTTGTATTTTTATAAAGAGTACACTATAAAGAACATGATTATGATCTAAGTGTTCAATTCGTTTTTATTAGTTTTAACTATAAAAAGAAAAAGATAAGAATAAAAGTAGTTGACTAGAAAATTTGTCATTTCTTTATATATAATTGATTTTGTATATACTAACATATAAGCGCAAATATATCATTCTATCGACAATGGTCCACTCTACGAAATTTTCAGCTTATATTAATATCATTTTAAAAAGACTACCCAATCCTTATTTGTAGTACGGAGCGCTCGTACAGTACTCAGTACGAAATGCGTTCGTATGCTCATAAAACCGAAGCATCTGTATCTTTATGATTTTACAAATGAAAAGCTTTAATGACGCTAAAATTTGGTTTTTTGATAAACTTTCATATGCGGGTCCAGATGGACCCCAGAACATCCACGAAGTTAAAAAATGAGAACATCCACGAAGGGATAATGCTTGAGTTGTGTACTTTACAAATCCGTAAAGATATTCTTCAATCTTCAAGTTTTTTATGGGATTTTCGTACAACAGTTAAGTTAGTTGAAACTGATTACTTATGTAGACCTAAAAAACTTTCTAGTTGATGTTTTCATTATTTATTCATTTTTATTTCAAAACAAAGAGATCTATCGCAAAATACGTCACCACAATCATAGTCCAATGCACTATGACGTGTATCTACCATTGACATGCAGTTCTTGCATTTTCCTGCTGATTGCAGGTAATATTCACAAAAAAGACTTGTTTATCGTTTTTCTCAAAAACGAATTTTTTTACAAAATATCAATCTCTGAACAAATTTTTCTTCACTATAGTTTACTCTATTAAACTGCGTTTTCTTTATTTGATAGATAGATATGTCCTTCTTCAGATGACGAGAAGGAATTTTTTATTTAACTCCCAATCTAGGAGCAATCAGGTATTTTATGAAAAATACTATATAGGGTTTTCCGGACTTCAAAGTTTTGTATATCCCACCAAAGAAAAAAAAATCAAAATTAAAAAAACCTTTCCCTTATCTGAAGCATCATGGAGTTCTCTTTCAAATGAGACCAGTTCGAGCGCTGAATCTTGAAGTATATTGAAAAAATCCATGTACGCGTGGAACCTCCATTTTGCCCCTTAGTACTTGTATATCTCCTGAATGGAAAGAGCTAGAGCCATGAAATTTTTTTTACATTTGTGCCTTTATGGGTCGGGCATCTATAGAAAGTTTCATGAAGATTCCATGTACCATGTTAAAAATCGATTTTAGAGGGGGGAGGGGCGCGATGCCTTAGTAAATGCAAAGCATTTACTCTGAATGTCAATCAGAGCGTAGAGTTTGTTATTATGTTGCCTTAATCCAACGACAGAAAATATTTCTTATAGTGCTCATTCAATGAGCATCAAAATGATTGGTAAGTTGATGTAAAGAAAGGAGAAAATATTGATTAAACTATCACACAGTCACGTATTAGAGAAATAAAAATATTTTCCATGTTCATTTCTAATCTACCGCATATATCACAATATATTCATTGCATAAAGTATAGTCTAGATGTTGAAGTCAGTGTGTCAGTGCTACGGTGCGTCACTGGCAGTGCTGGCAGTGCACGATTTACTGAATCTGCGGATCCCTAACTTTAATTGTCTTATTATTCAATAGATTGATGAAAACATAAATTTGTTTTATTGCTGTTATGATCTATTTAATAAGAAATGGTTGGGTTACTTAAAAATATTTTCTAATGAAATTTAACTGACAGATCATGGAATTTGAATACGAGATTTTTTAACAGTAGGATAGTCATATCACATCTGATGCGACAGAAAAATATGTGCAGGAGTTGCATGTAAGAAAAAGTATATTTAAAGATATACAAGATAACTAATCAATGTTAGAAATGAATGGAACATATGAAAAATCATCTGAGTATTATTGTATAGAACAAAACTAAATAAATAAAAATTCTTATAATATTTTAGCTCCAAGTATGTTGATGACTAGCACTACCGTCACTCCATCAGTGTTAACACCATTTCAATCTTGTAATACTTCCAAGTGTCGTGCAATAATAGCAGATTATTTCTCAAAAACTTGGGCATTCAATACAGTTGAGTTAACGGAATGTGCACATTGTCCATCCATGACAACTGCTGTAATGAATACGGACTGGTTGAATTTGTGGTATGAAGAAGATTTCTTTATTAAAAATTCCACTGAACAAGATCTTGAGAAAAAGCCAGTATTTGGTATCGTAAGTCATTGCGCAAAAAGATGCTTTGAACAGTTAATGTGTGTGGGATTTGCAAGAAATAAGAACATAGCAGATGATGCAAACGGTGAATGTTGGCTAAAAAATAATATTACAGTAAATCGAATTTACAATCATCCTGAATGGCATGCATTTGTTTTGAATATTACATCTTAAAAAGCATATCTGAATAATACAAACAATTCAATTGAAAATAATCAAAACAATATTATTTGTCTCTTTTTCTTCTTATTAACCCTTTCCGGCCGGATGTTGCCAAACGGCAACATTTTTGCCGTAGGGGGGTACGGCATTTTTAAAAAAGTCGGCAGTGAAAAATTGATCCCTATAACTAAACAACAAAGAATATGTAGACAGATAACTTTTTGCTTGTTGTTTTCTGGTAGCCGGCCGTAAAAGGTTAATCAAGCTTTTATTATTTTCTAATGATAATTTTCTTGATTTAACAATAAATATTCTAGTCATTCATCTTGATAATCATTAAATAAATAATGTTAACTAGATTTATTACGAGAAATGAATTCGTATTTGTTCGAATAAATAATATCTCAACTTTTTTTCTTTTCGTTACTATCAAATAAATATCTCACTTAAATGAACAAAAAAAGAAGTGTATAACGATGTAGGATGCTGATATAAATGAAGAATAGACTCACGCCTTACAAACACTTTCAAGATAGTGATTGTGGATGAATAGGTAAGTGGATGTACGTTCATCTATTACTAACATTCACATCTACTCTCAAAGAAATTTTGTCGTCTTTAATTTTTCTTCTAAAAGCAAAAAAAGAGTAAAATGGTTTTTGTATAATCAAAATAACTGACTTTAATAAGTACTATCTTGAGGGTGTGGGTGTGGGTGTGGATGAATCAAAGATATAACTACACCCATATCCTTTCCTTTACTGACCGTATACATTGTGATACCATTTCTTTATAGTATCAGTTTCTTACTATTACAATGAACTATCTTGATATCCATAAACTCAACACGGTTCAGCAAAAGATTGATGAAGTAATACATATTCAATCAATATTGTCTCATTTTTTTTGTTTTGTTCTATAAAGACTATTCAATCAATCACTAAAATCATTCATTCCAACTTATCTCGTAATTTGATGAGATAAATAAGAAACATTTCTTTCGAATTAAATATTCATTAGAATTACTTGAAGATATTTTTTTCGTTTGGCATAAATATTGCAAATAGCATTTTATGAAAAAAAAGACAAAATAAAAAAGACGTGTTTATTATCTAGTTAAATTGAGCAGATATATGAAATCGTATAACTCTAATACGACTCAAGAACAATTTTCTACATTGACCGTATATGTATACTGGGTGTGGGTATGAGCACATTACCCATCACACCCACACCCTCAAGTTGACACGATTGTGTCAGTCTAGTCGATACTAACCTGAAATATCAATTAATATATATCAAGATCCAAGTACTGCAACATTTGATAGTCTAATTATCATGAATAAAAAATATGATTCATATTCTGATATTTTAATGAAAGGGAAGATGAAACGCTTTGCATTTACTCGTCAAGTCTTTTTCAAGTGAACATTGTAGTTATTGTTCGTTGAGCAAGAAGTGAAAAAGTAGTTTGTATTCCAGGTAAATTTGCTGGTTCAACGGGATGTCGACATAGTGGGCATTTATTTCCAGCTCTTAAGACACTTAACATACAATCGAAATGAAATTTATGTCTACCTGGACATGGCCATATACCAAATCGTCGATTAGATTGAAAATTTTCGAGACATATAGAACAAGTATTTAAAAGCGTGTCATTCCTAGCTATGTGTGGATCCATCAAACGAAATTTTGCGATAAATTCAGGTGGTGCTGATGTAATTCGTTCCAAAATTCTATTAATATCATGCCGATACGTATGTTGTTGATATTGAATTTCTTCATTAATTAGAAATCTTAAATGATGTTGTCGTTCGTGCTCTTGTTCGGAAACTTGATTCCATTCGCAGCTAATAGAAAAAAAAACCCGAATAAAACTTTTCATCAGTTTTTTTTCGAACATACCTAAATCGATATTCATCACTCAGCAATATTGAACGTTTATGCAACCAATCCGCTGCTGTCGAGTAATACTTATCGATGAACGAAGGAAAATAAATATATTTAGAATCAACTACGATGCAATCAAGTTTTACTTTTGTGATTGTAGCAAGAGGAATGATTAAAAATGGAACATCTTCATAAAATTGTTTGAGAATTTTCGGTGAATTTTCATTGAAATCGATCAGAAACATCACAAAATATTTATCACGAAGTATAAATAAACAATCATGATGCTGATTTAGATAGCTTGTATTCATCAGAAGATTATCTAAATCCTCTACAGAAATTATGTCTGATTTTCTTAGTTGTTCCATTACTAGTAGATTTTGCTCTGGTGATGATCGATTGCGAATAATCACGAAGAAATGTATGACATGAAATAAACTTCCCAAGAGGAAACAAATAAAAAAACCAACAAATAGATATGAAAAATAAGGAGGATGAAGATATGAACTATCAAATAATCGAACAATATCGGTAAAAATATGACCAGTTCCATAACTTGGAAAATAATCCATATTTCTCGGTTTATAAAAATAGCCAACAATAACACCACATTTTAACATTAGAATGGAAGTAAATTTTGGTGGGTTTTGATGATAAAGATCTTCAATCTTTATAATAAATATCGATTTTTCGTACCAAGTAGAAAATTCTTCAGGCAAAATTCCCAATTGTTTGACAATACATTGTAATGTGTTGGTATTTAACGACTGAAATTGATATGAATGATATACATCATATTTCGATCGTTCGTATGAACCAACTTTTAAATAGAGACTTCTATACTGTGTAAAAATTGTTGATTCTATGACACGACGATATGTATATGTTACTCGGCCATATCCGATTTGATAATAAGTAACTTGAAATGAATTATCCGAATGAGAATCAATGAAGTTATCACCAAATTCAATTTGAATATATTCAGGTTGAAAGGAAAGCCACTGAAATGAAAAATTTGATTTATGACCAAATAGATTATAATTAATATCTAAATAATTTCGAAACTGTTCCACATTCATTGGAAATGGACCTTTCCATGCATTGTAAACTCGATTAGGACATTGAAATAACATCAAAATGAGAAAATAAAACAATATAAAACACCATTCCATGAGAATGTAACTCTGTGCCTCCATTCGAGCATCTTTTGAACGTTGTTTATGAATGCGTTCTAATAGTAATGAGCAAGATACCTTCATTCGCACAGCTTTAATTCACTTTTTTTTTATTAACTTCCTACAAGAAAGCAGAACTTTACTGTAACAAATAAAACGAAAAGAATAGTAAAGTGTTGCGTTATCTTATATGAGTTTTATCGCAGTTTATCTTAGCTTTTTATAAAGCAATTGAAATGCAATCCTCTACAACGATTAAAAAAACTTTTCGAGTTTGATAGAGAGCGCACATTAGCCATCATAGCAGCAAAGATAATTCACTGAAGCATGCATAGAATTCCAGAAAAAGAAATTTCTTTAAAACACATAGAATATTACATTAAAATATAAGGGTGTGGCTTTGATTGTTTTGTCGTTATCGAAACCCACAGCCTCGGGCATAAGAAAAAAATAACTGAATTGTTTGCATTAAAGAAGAACTTGCGAAAGAAACAAAGACTTTGTATAAGTAGATTGATTTAAATTTTCGCTTATTTTCTAAGTTTGAACAGGACACAACCATGAACTTTGTATCTGACATTTCAAGATATAGTTAAAAACAAAATTTTTTTCAGTTGAAAGTATATAAATTTCATAGGCCTCTAAGACAATCGTTATTATATCAAGAAAACTCTCTTGTTTGTTTTAACCATATATTCATCGACCGTTGTGATTATTGCAAAAAGAATAAAGACGAAAAAAAAAAGAAAAAAAGAGAACAATAGTTTGATGAGAATAGATATAGAATAAACATAAACAGAAAAGGAATGAGAAAGACACACGCACGTACAGAAGTCAATCGTTATTCATTAACCAGAAGTACAACAACAATGATAAATGAATGCGAGCACTGATAATAATAATAATGATAATAGTAATAATGACTGAAGAAATATGTATCTATGATCTCAAAACAACAAAACTGATGGATAGAAAAAGAAAAAAAACAATTAGGAAAATGTAGAAGCGAATAATTTTATAGAACAAGTAAAGAAGAAGAAGAAGAAAAAAAAATACTCTAATCATCAATCGTTATTGTACCTGACCGTTTGATTTTCTTATGTACTGATGCTAATGGATGATGTATAGGTGATATTAATGGACGTTTTTCACCATAAATATTAGTTGAAGGAAGTATATCTGTAATAATTGATGAGGAAGACGAAGACGAAGATAAAGAAGGTACAAGAAGTAATGGTGGAGGTGGATCGGGAGATGCAAATTCATGATGAACAGCATTCGTAGTAGCAGTTACTCGTGATCGTAATGTCATTCCATATCTCTTTGGTGTTGGTGTTGTTGTTGTTGTTATTGTTGTTGGTGATGTCATTGTTAATGGATATTGATCAATTAATTGTGAAAGTCTTTCATCACTGAAATCAAATGAAGATAACGATGAAATACCATTCGTTGGTGGACATGGAGCATGACGACAACGACAAACACCATTTCCACATAAACGACGAGTATGTGGTAAAGTAGATAAAGGAACATTATGAGTCGGTACAACAGCTGCCGTTGATGTTGTTGTCGAACTTGATGTTGACGAACATGAATCAGTTGATTTTTTCGTATAACGACGTCGTGCTAGAATTCCATCGATAACAGCAGATAATTGAAATTGACCGGCTTTTTGAAATGCACGCATTGTTACATTAACAGCACGTACCTTAATTGTAAAAAAATATTATTTATTTGAAATTTATTTTCAAAATTATATACAATTAGAGATCGTGATGCTTGACAAAGAATACTAGGTGTCATTAAATGATCTTGTGTATTTGGAACATTTGATCCGCGTAGCCAAGCATTTCTTGATAAATCTTTAATTGTTAAACGTTTTGATGGATCAACTGTTAATAAACCTTTAACAAGATCTTTGGCTGTTTGTGAAACATTTTTCCATGCTGGTGTATCATATAATAATTTTGAACGTGTTATATCTTCAACAATTTCTTCTGCTGTTCGATGTGCTGTTATAGAATTAAATGGAACTTCTCCACTTAACATTGTATATAAAATTACACCAAGTGACCATAAATCACATGATTCATCATAACCGGATGTAATTGAACTTGTATTTGTTGTTGTTGTAGAAGAAGGTACAAGAGCTATAATTGTACTTGTTGATGAGGATGATGATGAAACGGATGATGTAGATAAATAAGATGATTGAGAATGATTAAATGATGTTGCAGTACGAAGTACTTCTGGTGCTGTATATCTTTGATAAAAAAAGAAATTTCGGAAATAGTATTAAAATTATTAACTTACAAAAGTGTTCCACATGGTGTTGTCATTGGTTGATGTTTAGTACGTTTTTTAGCAAAACCAAAATCAATGATTTTTATTTCAGCATCAGAATGAGATGATGAAAAAAGTAAATTCTATTTCAAAGAAAAATATTTATTTTTTCAAAAAACTAAAAGTTGTTTTTTTTAATACTTCTGGTTTAAGATCTCGATGACATAAATCATTACTATGCATAAAATTAACAGCTGATACTAATTTTCTCATTAATTGACTTGCTTCTTTCTCAGAAAATGATGTTTGAGTACGAATTCGATAAAAAAGTTCTCCACCCGTCAATAATTCCATTATAATATATGTATGAAGCTTAAAAAATAAATATAAAAATAAAATAAAATAATTATTGATCAAACTAACTTCATCAGAATAAACTTCATGTAATTTAACAATATTTGCATGACCTTGACATAAACGTAAAAGTTCAATTTCATTCTGTGCATCAACTTCTTGTCGAATTGAAAGAATTTTGACAGCAAATTCTTCTTGTGTACGACGATTTCGACAACGTCTAAAGGATTTTTTTTATAATTAATAATAAACAATTATCTATTTTTTACTAACCGACAGATTGAATAACTTCCTTCACCAAGAAAACCTTCACGATCAATTAATTCATAATTTCGAAAAAACGGACTTGTCTAGATTATATCAGAATAAATATAATGAGAAAAATATCAATAAACAAACTTTGATCAATCGATGAAGTTGTGATGGATCTGGTCGTTGATGATTTGTAAGACGAAGTAGATTATATAAATCTTCATTAACTGCATTCTCAGGACCAAAAAGAACAGTAGGTGAAATAAATGAATAACCCTACAAATAAAAGAAAATGTGAATAAGATTGAATAAGATTTTTTAACTAACCCTGAAAAGACTTTCAGTTGGTGGAGCTAATCCAGGTGAATCTGTTATTGGTAATCGTGTAAATTCATCTGCAAAATTACTTGTATCCATTTCATCTTTAAGTTTTGGTTTAATTGGTGCTTGAATTCGTTTTTGAGCAATAGCATCCCAATCCATATCAGATCCAAAAAATGGATGACGTTTAATATCTTCTAATCCTTTTGAACCTAAACGACGTTTGGGATTTTTCATTAACAGTTTAAGAATAAAATCTTTTGCTTTTTTTGATATATGATTTGGTATTAATGGTTGATTTTTTACTATCCGTCTAAAATAGAATACATAGTTTTGTATGAAGATTAATTTTTGAAAATTTACTTTGATATATCTGGTTGAGTATTTCGATCACCATCAACAGTAAATGGTGATGCACCGGTTAAAAGTTCAAATGTAAGAACGCCGAGACTCCACCAATCAACCGTCTATTTATATATTAATAATATATTTTAATGCCATTTCAAACTGATAAAACTTACAAAATCATGTCCGGCATCTCCACCTTTAACAACTTCTGGTGCCATATATTCAATTGTACCACAGAATGAATATGTTCGTTTATCCTAAAACAATTTATTCAATATAAAATAGAATAAATAAAAAAAAGATAATATATATTTACAGCATCATCCGGTCGAAATTCTTTACTTAAACCAAAATCTGCTAAAACAATATGACCATCATTATCAAGTAATATATTTTCAAGTTTAATATCTCGATAAATAATTCCAAGCTAAATAAAAAAAAGGAAAAGATTCACAATTGTAAATTCTATTTTATTCTTTGTGAATATTACTTTATGTAGTTGTCCAAGAGCAAGGGTTAGTTCTGCAATATATATTCTTGCATCTTGTTCACTAAAATGTTGTCGTTTATTAAGATGTGTAAATAATTCTCCGCCACTAACATAATCTAAATATGAAAAACAAATATATATATTTATTTTATTTTTTTAAAATAAAATGAATATACCCATAACAAGATGAAGTTTAGCATCACTTTGAAAAGCATAATGAAGTGATACTAAAAAAGGAATCTGACGAATTGCTTCTAAAACTTGTCGTTCAGTTTTAATATGTTCAGCTGTTTTAGCTTTTTGTAAAATAGCTGATTTTTTTAAAACTTTCATTGCATATAATTTTCCTAGATCGGCACCGGTTATTTTACGCACGAGAAATACTTTTCCATAAGCTAAAATAAATAAATAATTTTGTTCGAATATTTTCCATTAAATAAATCAATTTACCTCCCGTGCCAAGTACTTTAAGTAATTCAAAATCACTCATATCAACTCGACCTGCATTGGTCATCTCGTAAACTAGAAATATAAAAGTTCTGTTTTTATATATATTTTTTTGTTAAATTAAACTTACAATCAAGCACGAGATCGCTCAATGCCATAGCTTAATTCAAAAAACAACTGAAATAAATAATAATCATCTGGAATAGATTAAGTATATATATAAGGTCGTTTTTTTTTCGTCTCTGTTTATATTGATTCTATTACATGTGTTCAATTTATTTCTTCTTATTACGATGAGTCATTTAGTTGTCTCAACTCGTATTTTGTCTGATTGGAGAACAGTATTAAACATGTATACTAGCGCCGTTCATTCTCTTTTCCTTTTCATTCATATTAATTAAGTATTAAAAACATTCTAAAGAACACATATTAACATTGTTTTTTATATAAAACAAACAATTTCTTTAGAAAAACAATCATTTAACTCAAAGATATATATATATTTATACACTTACAAGTATTCGTCTTTTGTTATAAATAATCACAATTTACGAAACAAAAATTTATTACTTTGAAATGAATCTATTCGTTTCGAAATATGAGAAAATGAATCTAAGAAAATAAACGAATATTTGTAGATGTTTGGTTAAACAGAAAGAAAGAACGAGAGAGAAAGTCAAATAGAGAGAGAGAGAGGGCGTTCTTAGACGTTGATTTTCCTATACTTCCGTATAAAAATAAAAAAAAATGTCATAGCTAATAATATTCATAGTAGTTAGAAATTGACAATACCAAAAAAAAATCATAGTCAAATATGTCGACAACAACAAATGAAGCAAATGTGAATTTAAATTTGTATGACCTGTTCAACGGAGCATAATATATCATATATCTCGCTTCAAAGATTATAATTATGATTAAATCTCATGCAATTGAATAGGTTGTTAACAAGTACTTTTTCAACTATTATTGATATAACTCTTTTAGTTGAAATATTACATAGAATTTCTCATCATATTCATTTATTAAGACTTTACTTTTAATGTTATGATATGAAGAAATTTAATAAGAGAAAATAAATATTCAAATATTTTACTGAGTTATGAAGAATATTGAGAAGAAAAGATGTATAACGTGACAATCATTTAAACATATGAAAATTTCTTTATATATGAACAATACAACTATACGATTTAGTATTAATTTGTTATATCATACTGTGATTTTTTTAAATTGTCAATTAGAATACAATAGTCAAACAATGAATGGTTCATTGTAATCATTAATGTACATATGATGTGATGTATATGTGCTGTTTGAGAATATAGCCTACAGAAATTTTGAAATATATTGATCATAAATGATCACAAGATTTTTGAAAAAGAAATTACAGTTGATATTTTAATCTGTGAATAATTTTAAAACTGATTAATTTACTTAAAACAACTGAAGACTATGACTTCGATCAGTTATAACTAATGTACGAAAATTTTAACTAAATAATTGATCATAATTCTTGTATGTACACAGGGTCAAAAAAACATCGAAGACCTATTTTCTGGAAAAGACAATTCTTGAGGTATTTCGTTGTGAGGAATTCAAATGTGCGTCATATTTTCTCAAACTATTGAAGGGAGGGGTGTGTGGATTGGAAGAATTGATGTAGACTGATAGAAACCGAGTTTTCAAGTAATGCATTTTTATTAGTATCCAAATGTTATCTTGTTTGTAGCGCAGAGTATGGCGACCATAAACAGTTGGCATTCTTGTGTATACGATTACTGACGCTTCACTCATTCGTTAAAGACTAGTTCGAGAAACCACTGGTGCCGGCAGCTCAAATATGTTTTGACCTATGTTTACCACTGAGTAGGATGCGAGTATGTGCTAAGACTAATGAACAACAAAGGAAAGCATGGTTTTTAGTTGTTTTTCCATTAAATGTGAAGAGGATGCATTTCTACGCGGATGAGCATAACTTGTATTTAAATCACATGATAACACGTGTATAATAAATTCAAAATGAAATGCGCAATTTTAATAATAGTATAAACAAAACCAAAGAACAAACATTTCCTTCTTTTGTATCACTACCATTTATACATTTCAATTTTTAGATCGAAATTCTCATACATTTGTCTGTTGAAAATGAATCGAACACAACAATTATTTGAATTAATTCGTGAATATAAACACAAGATTTTATCAAAAGAATATTAAATTGTATTAGCTACACATATATCAATGGTATCACGGGGATTTTCCTTAAAAGATGAACAAGTCGAAAGATTTAAAAATTATTGGGGATAAAGTTTTCAAATAGAATATGTTAAAACAAATAAGAAAATGTTGGTAACTCATGAATTTTGTAAAGATGTATGCACCATAAAATTCCAAGTAAATTACTTTAATAATATTTAACATATTTGTACGATTAAGCTTCAGGATGAAAAAGAGAATTCGTGGTCGAAACAATTAGAATATAATAAAGTATTCAATAGATCCGTTCGATGGGAATGCTGCTTCCATGAAATCTCCGGAATATCAAGGAACCAGCCGTTCCCGTGTCGGATTGTTCGACCTGGGTATCCAAACAAAAAAAAATAAAAACGTTTTTTTGTAAAATATAATAAAAGAAAATAAAGATTAACAGTAAATAAATAGTCAAACTAACGAGAAGTGCAATATGTATGTTCTTTTTTTTTTAATTAAAACTTATAGCAATCGCTGACATCGTATCTTAAATCAAAATAAGTGAATAAAAGTCGTTTTTATCCGCAAAGAATTTGTAACACAAGTATCATGAACCGATATAACTCAGTTTCGTTCATTTTGTGCTTATTAAAAGATACAAATAAATGATTTGAATATCAATTCATTAGTTCAAATATGTGAGTGTAAATGTATGTGAAAACGATGAGAGAAACGATATCCATACACATCTATCTTTTGCTATTTGATGAAAAATACTCATTAATAGACATGACAACCACCACTGTTCTTTCACATAATTACGATTGTGTTTTTTTTGTTTATTTCAGTATTTCTTAAGCTTTACTTTTGGTTAATAACTTTTCTCCTTTGTTTTATGATATTCATCTGAAACAAAAATATCATTCACGTATAGAATATTTGTTTCAGATCAACGGTATTTAAGAAATTTATCTCTAATAGTGTCATTGTTTCCATCGACGGCATCGGTCAGACAGGAGATGACATGAATATATCAATATTTATGTATTGACATCGATAAATAAAAAGTCGTTTAGATATATCATTCAATAAATATGAACGATTCAACTATTCAATTGAATGATTTACCCGATGAAATTCTTATGATGATTTTGGAAAAACTATGGAATATCAGAGTGCTCTATTCTCTAATAGGTATTAATAGAAAATTAGATAGAATTACATGTGATCCAGTTTTTACAAGATACTTACAATTGATGAATGGAATTTCACACAATTCAGTCGGTCAATTATCAGAAATAGTTTTAAATCGATTTTGTTCAGATATTTTACCTAAAATTCATCATCATATTCGACGACTTGATCTAGAATCATCAACTATGGAACGCATACTTTCTACGTCGAACTATCCTAATTTACATCAACTTGGCCTATTTAATCTTCATGCAAAAACGGCTGCATCTCTTTTCACAAGTAAGACATTAATTGCCTTTAAATAATGAATACTCTTCTTTCAAAGTCGACACATAGCTAATTTTATTTCCTGTACGTGTAATCCATAATTATTTTTTCCTAAAAAAATTGATTTAATGATCAGACTTATGGTTTCATAAATATTTTCTTTTTAGGCCAATCTCCTTTAAATCATATAGATGCAAACCAAAACGATTTACTTATTATCGTCATTAAACAATATGGAGATATGTGTGAACGTTCAGATATAAATTTACTGATACTTATACATATCTTAACAATATTTTGCAACTTGAAATACTTTTCTTTCGATACATCACAGCAATTATCCTTTGGTAATTCACCTCCAAATATATTTTCATCAACTTTAGTAGAATTGCATGTATCTTTGAACGATTTGACTGATTGTCTTTATTTACTTGATGGACGCTTTAGTCAACTTCATACCCTTCGCGTTTTTAGTGTACGCGAAAAATCTACACATGTAATAATTGATAATAAGGTAAATTATTCTTATCAATATTATTTATTCGTATAAAATCTTTACTATCTAGGATACATTACCAAATTTAAAACATTTTTCGCTGGATCATAGATTCTATACAGATTTATATGATAGTTTAATTATACCACTTCTACAACGAATGATTAATTTAGAAGAGTTGGATTTATATCTTAAAATCTCTCGTAAACAAACAGTGGTTGATGGTGCAGATTTGAAGAAAAATATTCTCAATCATATATCTCGATTGAAGAAATTTTCATTTAGCATTCGTTTAAATATTTATCTTAATAATGGAAGTAATATACCATCAAACGATGATTTTCAAAATACATTCAAAGATTTCAAAGATAATGAAATAATTTCTTACGTTGATAATTTCACATATATATAAAAGGAAAGAATACGAGAGAATTACAAATAATTTTGTTTTTAAATCTTTTCCATATGTTCGTGAAATATCATTATTTGATAATCAGCCATTCGAACATGAATTTTTTCTTCGAATTACTCAAGCATTTCCAAATGTGAAAATATTAAGATTAGACAATGAACAACCTCAAAAGAAAAATCATCAAGATTCTTCAATAACCAGATACTTTCATTTAACTGAACTTCATCTACTTGAAGTTCACGATGATTATATCGAAGAATTTCTAAGTGATTCGAAGACATGTTTACCCAACACTGTCGATCTTACCATCGAATATGAAGCAATGCAGAGAGTGACAGAAAATTTTACAAGAAGTACGACACAAATCAATTGTTCCAAATTAGTTCGTTTAAATTTATATGTACTTGATGATGAAAATGATGTAAATTTAGATGATATTAAACATTATTTTCCTCATGCAAAAATATTTGCTAAATCATAATTATCTAATGTAAAAAAATTTTTATATGTAGCAAAAAAAATATATAGAAAAAAGACGAATACTTTTTGATAAATTAGAAAATAACAAATGAATATAACTTATTATTCTATTCTATTCGAAGAGTATGAATAACGGTGTGAGATGACTAAAACACCCCCCCCCACACCCACACCCTCAAGTTATTGAAGATATTAAAAAGACAACGGATAATAATAAAGTTGAAGTAATGGAAATGGATCTTACATCACTTCAATCGGTTAGAAATTTTGTTTCACAATTTCAAGCACGTAAATTACCAATTAATATTCTTATTTGTAAGTAATTGATTTCATCGTATATGAATATTTATATATTCATAATATAGGCAATGCAGGCATTATGGCTTGTCCCTATTCGAAGACAGTTGATGGTTTTGAATCACAATTTGCTGTTAATCATCTTGCTCATTTTCTTCTGACTACTAGTCTTTTACCTCAACTCAAAGCAGGTAAACCATCACGTGTCGTAGTCGTTAGTTCATTGGCAAATAAAAATGGTGGTATCAATTGGAATGATATTAATTGGGAAAAAGATTATGAAAGATGGAATGCTTATGCACAGAGTAAAACGGCTAATATTCTTTTTGCTAAACAACTCAATAAATTATATGCATCGGAAGGTATCAAAGCTTATTCTTTACATCCAGGTGGAATTTTTACAAACTTACAAAAAAATATACCAATTGAAGAACAACGTGCAATGGGGTGGTTCAAAGAAGATGGTACTGCTCATGATCTTTTCAAAACTATTGAACAAGGTGCATCAACAAGTGTTTATGCTGCTTTAGCACCTGAACTTGATAATCATGGAGGAGAATATCTTGAAGATTGTGCAATTAGCCAAGGAGTTAATTCGAAAGAGAAATATCAAGGTATGTCACCACATTCAATAGATATGGAAGCAGCTGAACGTTTATGGAAATTAAGTGAACAAATGGTAGCAAACAAATAAAAAAAATGATTCATATTAACATTCTCTAATTTTGTAGTTTGATTGAAAAATATGTAATATAAAATATACATGTATCTAATTTATCTTTAATATTTATATAAAATTGCCTTGGCATGCGCACGTTTACTGGAAGGTTCGATGCATTCAAATCTGTTATTTTTTTTTGTGCATTTATATCATAACTACCAGGCATCAATCTATCTAACAATTTGTTTGTTTCTTTCGTTTCTTTCATTCAAATTGAATCGATATGTAAAATCACGAAGTAATACGAAGAAAGAAACAAACAGAAAGGGAAGCACATCTTATCCACACACACACACATATATTTTCATTCTCTCTTGTTTCTACTGTTTCATTCTTTTTAAGTGGTAGTCTGTCAGCTGACAGACAAAATATAATGACATCTAACATTAATGAAATACTCGATCCTTCCGTATGTTCTTGTCTTCCGACCTCTACTCATTGTTTAAGTTTAAATAAAATTAAATGGTCGACTTTATCAATAAGCACTGCCTTACTAATTATTGTAAGTAAATAAATAGACATATTTATCAGATGTTTTTTTCTTGAATCTAGATCGTTTATGCAAGTAGTGGATTATATACTTTAATTGATGTAACAACACTTATGGCAATACAATCATCAGATGTTAGAAATGGTATGAAATTAATCAATTAAATTTATTTCATACATTAATTATACTGTTTTTTATTTTAGAAACAATTTTCTCATCTATAATATCATCTCCAGAAACAATTGTACTTAATTGGATTTCACTTAGTGTTTATTTTATCGTGGTTCTTCTTATTATTATTCTTCTTTGTGGAATTCAATTAGTAAATTTGTTTAATAAATTAAATTGATATATTATTAATTTTACTTTTTTTAAGAATAAACCATGGCTCTTATTTATTTGGTCAGTTTTAATGATTATTATGTTACTTATTGATGGTATTGTTACTGTACTTTCTCTTCGAGAACATCAGCAACAGGTTATTTAAATTTTAATATGAAATTTAAGATTCCTATCAATATTTTATTTAGATTCATCGACCATCAAAACAAGTAAAAATACTCTTCTTTGTCATGATCATTCGTCTTATTGTTTCGGTTCGTAGAAAAAAATTTCTAATATAATTAATATTAACATTTGTTTTTATAGTTATATGGCATATTCATAAGCATTTTTCATTTTCGTTATTTAAATCAAGCCATATCAGAATATAACACACGACAGGTAAAATAATTAATTAAATATATATTATTTATATATGAATATTGTAGAGAATGTTACTTCGTTACAATACTGAATGTCCATCAGCATCCTATGATGGTTCATGTACATATTCTGATGGTCTTTTAAATCTACCCAAAGCTAATAACAATGATTATCATATACCTGATATACCACCACCATCTGTATCATTACCAAGAGCACAAATTGCTACTATTCAACGTCGTCCAATTTCAACAATGTTTCATTCACGAAATTATCTCCATCCATCGTCATCTGAACATACAAATCAACAACCTATAAATGATTATAATGAAGATTTTCGATACAATGTACCATTACAAGAAAGATATCATCAACAAAAGAAAATAGATACTCAAGAACTATGAATGCTTTTCGTTTAATATAACTCACTTTTTTTTAAAAAACTTTTTGTATTTATAAATATTCATTCTTTCTATATAAAATTAAGCAGATGAGTTATTTTCTTTTATTATTTATTCACTGACTTCTTTGAAATATATATATATATTAATCATCATTCATATTTTAAGACAGTCGCACTCTCGTATAGAATGAAAAGGCAAAAAAAATGAAAAAGAAAGAAAAAAGAAAGGCGAAATAATATGTTTAAATGTGAAAGAGAGAAAAAAGAAAATAGAAAAGTTTAATTTTTAATTTTTTAATATATATTGCCATTTGAATGATGATGATGTTGTTTAACACGTTGTTGAGCAGCAACTTGTTCTTCTTGTTGAAGACAATCAGCAAATGCTTGTAATCGTGTTTGAAGTTCATTTAATATTTGTTGACGTTGTAATAAATTTGCACGCATATCATTAACAAATTTTTCTTGATCATAATCAACTGTATCTTGTGCTTGTTTAACAATTGTACGTAATTGTCGCGTTAATATTGGTTCTTTATTAGCTAAAATTTCTTGACATGAATCAAATAGTGCTTCTTCATATTCTTGTAAATGTTCAACTTGTGCTGCATATGAAGCTAATGCTTCATCTTGTTCATCATCTTCATCATACTCATCTCGTATATCATTTGATGATGAACTTGTACTATCATTGGACGATGCAGAACCATCACGATGATGATGTGAATAATGATGACGACGTTTATTTTCTTTATTATCATCAATAGGTAATGCTAAAATATTCATAATGTAAAAAAACAAAAAAAAAATTATTGAATAAAATCAAACCTTTCTTTATTCCATCCATTTTAATTTCATCATCTTCATTTGATACAATTTCACCATTATCACCAGCACGTAATTCTTTAACTCGATCGGCATAACGTAATGTATTCATTGTATTTTCAACATCAGAATGTGTTGGTGAAACCATTGCAATCATACAAACTTTTGATTTATCACCAATAAATGAATCACGTAAAACTTTTGTTAATGTTGAGCCACGAAATGGTACATGACAACCATCACCACGACCCAATGCACGAATACATTCTTTCAATGCTAATAAGGATTTATTGATTTCTGAACCTTCCATACGTTGAAGACGATCACCACTTGCTGTATCCTTACCACGTTCAGAACCGGCTAAATCGATTAAAGACATCTTACCAACTTCTTTTACTGAACGACGAAGTACAGCAGGATTATTATGATTATTATTACGAGATGAAGACGATACTGACGAAGTTACATTAGATTGAGCAGAAATAGGTGTTGAAGTTTTTAAAATAATTTGAAGAATAGCATGAGATCGAGAAGAATTCGAATTAGCAGCTGTTGTACCAGATGTTCGAATACTCATACCATCTAAATAAAATAAAATTAATTAAACGAAATAAAAGATTTTCTAATCGATTTAAAAGTCAATAGTAAACTCATTTATAACTAATTAAAAAACATTACTAATGTAAGTACTTATAATATATGTAAGTGCAATAAATAATTAACTGATGACTGTTATTTTTTCATGGGTAATATTATTGTCTGACTTTTTCTCTGTATGACATCGAAATTATCATAAATCTTACGTTGAATGATATTCAATACATCTTGAACGGATTTAACTTGTTGTTCTTTTCGATCACATACTTGAACAAGTCCTTTTTGATCTTCTAATACACGGAGTCGTTTTTTATTATTAAGTAAATCGAAAACTTTGCCACAATATATTTCATAAAATGTAACAAATATTTCTACAGATGAACGATATTGTGGTAATGATAGACGTTGGAATATGTCACGTGCTGTTTGAGCATAAATTCCATGTGTATAATCAGCTTTTGCAGATGATAAATCACCACCCATTGTAAATGTTTTACCAGATCCTGTTTGACCATAAGCAAAAACAGTTGCATTTCCTCCATTAAAAATTGTATCAATCAATGGTGCTGCAGTATAACGATAGACAAGATCATTTGTAGATCGTTCATCGAATGTATAATCAAATCTAAATAGAATATAAGGTTTATTTCTTTCTTCTTTTACGTCTATGTATTATTCATACTTAAATGTTTGATTATCAAGAAATTTCGTTAAATCAACTTTAGATTTTGGTACATGAACAAGACAATGATCTTTATTAGGAATTGTTATAACATCATTATCTTTTTTAGCTATTTCACGTTTATTCAATGGACGTTTTCGAACAGCTACACATATACGTAAATCTTTTTGATTAAATTGATATTCTTTCATATTAGAAACTGTTATTGGAATATAATTAATTGTTGAACGATAATCAAGAATCATTTGTCCAAATGGACCATGTAAACCAATGGATGGTGGTGGATCAGGTACACTTGATATAGTTGTACTTTGCATTGTTGTTGTTGTTGTTGATTGTTGTACAATATGAAGACGAGAAAGACGACGGTCACCTTTATTATTTACTGGAAGTGGAATTTGTAATTGTGGCTGTTGTTCAATAACGGGTGTTGGCGGTGGAGCAGGAGATGAGGAAGATGTACCAGTTTTGGTTATAGAAGAATTTGTTTGAGCAGCAGGACGACGTATTGAACGAACAGCAACAGTATTATTTGTTCCGGATGGTGCATAACTTGTTTTTGGTTGTGTTGTAGCTGAGATTGTACTAAATTTTAAATAATAGAACAATTTCATTGAAACAAAAAAAGAAATTTACCCATTTAATGGTGGCGGTGGAAGCGGTGTTGAAGTTGTTTGAATAGATACAGGATTTTGTTGAATTCTTTGTAATAATTGCGGTGGAAGTGTTGGTGGTGGTCGAGAATTATATTCTCGTTCTAATGAATCAATATCTAAAGTTAATCGACTTGATGATAGACCAGTGGATGGAGCAGGAATAGCAGCTGTTGGACGAATTTGTTGATTGACAACTATTGATGATTGTTTTGATGACGATGTAGTTGGTCTTAATTCATTATTAAGTTCAAATACAAGATCAAGTAATATTTCTTTTCCTTTCACTTCTCCATGTTCATTCCATTCAACACCAACAGATTTTGATTCCGCGGAGAGTTGTACTACTTTAGCTAAATGTACTCGTCCGTCTGATCGTTTTATCTTAATTGATGAAGAAACTTGAATTAAACCAAATAATTGATCCATTTCTACAGACATTATTGTATTTCGTATTTACAAAAATGTCAATAAACCTAAAAATAGAATGAACCGATTTGTTAATCTAATATACGCATTCATTCAATGAAAAAAATTTTCTTATTATATTATAAAAATAAAAGAAGAAAGAAAAAGAAAATACAAAATGATACATCGATTAGTCAAGGAAGAATGGCACCAGCTGAGTAAAGGAAAAAAAATGTCATCCAAAAAAAAAGACTTACTACTCATGGTGTCGAATCAATTTCCACAGTTGGTCTGTTTCTTTAGTTTGATTGCTAAATAAATGTATATATGAGGATGACGACGATGTGTTTGTAGTTGTGGCTACTACACTCGACTAACGATGCCGAACATATGACTAACGACTGACTGGAGAGAGAGAAAAAACGGAGTAGATGTTAAGCAAGGGAGAAAGAGAAGGAAAAATAGACGAGGAATGAATGACGACAATTGCGCGCTTTTGATAGTGTTCAACGTTTTCTTTCTCTCGTTCGTTCTACGAAAGAACGAGAAGAACAAGAACAAAAAGAAGAAGAAGCAGCAAAGACTTGTTGTTCGGCGTCGGCGTGGGTGACCTTTGTATACTTTTATATACGTGTATACAGTAAGAGAGAAGGGGATTGATATCAATAAAGAGAAAGAAAATCTGGATATTGAAATTGAGGGTATGAGATGTGACCTTGTAAATAATGTATGAAAAGAAAAGCAAATTTCAACCAGATATTGTGTTTATGATTAATTTAGTATTTTGTACAAACACGAAACATAATTTTAATACAAAACATGATAATTACTATGGAGAAAACCAACTTTTTATCTTTCTGTTTCATTTGTCATGCAACTGACTCATCATCATCTATATGTAGAAAACTAAAGATCATAGATAGAAAGAATTTGTCGAGAATAAAATATGTTTTCATCACTCATTTGATCATAGATATGAAAAGATATTTAAATGATACTTATAATAGTATACATTGTATCAAATATCGTTTTCTAATCGATAGGATACTATACATCAATCCTTCTAGTAATCAATCAATATAAGCAAACAAAAGAATTAAATGATATATATCGTCGTCTCTTCGATATAATAAATATGATAATTGCATTGAACATTTTTAAACGTTATACTATCGATTATAAGATTCAGTTTGATAGAAGAAGAAAAAACCAAAATTCTTTATACTCAATTGACCGAAAAATAATTATAAAAATTAACATATCATAGTAAGCTTATATTGCTATTGCATATATGATATAATAGAAGAATCTTTTATTAAAAATAGTAGATTTCAACTTCTTGAATTATTCTAGTTGATTTAAGATTTTTCTTCTCCTACACAAATTCATTAGTTTAACAAAATTGAAAAATATTACTACTCTATAATCATTATTTCGTGATATTCATAGACATCAAATTAATTACATATTAGATAATATAATATTCTTTTATAAAAGAATGTGTTAAGTTATTAAAAAACGACTTTAGTATGTATGGTAGAAACAATGATTATAGAGGAATAGATATGAATAAAAAAAACACAGTTGAAATATAATACTAAAAATACAAAAGAGAAGAATAAAAAATATCTATATGAGCCTAAGATCATACTAGAACATGTAAAATATTACTAACAATTTCTTATCCAGATCAGATTATGTATAGAAATATATTTATTATAGAAAGAATATAAAAATCTACATATATATTCTCTCTTTGATTGTAACAACAACTTTGTTGTCGTATGCATAATAAAATATGATAAAATTCGATACTTTCAATGTAGAATCAAGTCAAACAACATAACAAAGTTTCAATACATCTATAGATTAAGTCATTATGAGAAGATTTAAAAAAGCATCAACATATAAAAATAATTTATATTGTTGTTTATGATGTACTTATTTTTCATGTGGAGAAATTAGATGGTATTTTCTTCAATAATAAAGCTATTCCTTTGGATTACTACTACTACTACTACTATTATTTAACTAATTTTTGTAGACATACAAGTCAGTCGTTGAAAAAGTTTATAACTAATTAGTATCTTTAAGTAAAAAAAGAATTACTTACGCTTTTTTTAACGAGAAATAATATAAATACAAAATCTCGTGTACATGTTATCAGAAAAACATGTGCGATAAATCTTTATTTGAATGAGAAAATAATTTTCATACAACTAGATTATGTATACCAGCTAGAAACGAAAAGCTTCTTTGTTTCTTTTAAGATTAACTCTTATCGCAACAAATAGTTTTAATTGAAAGTTGTTATTGTTATGCATGGTATAATCTTCCTTACAGTGTTATCATAGTAGTAATTCGTGAGATTATTATCATATTTATTGACGTCAGAAAGAAACATTTCATCAACAAATAAGATAATTTTTATGTAATAAAAAATGATGTATCGATATTATGTCATAGGCAATGTCTATCAGTATAAGTAAGTCTATAGATTTTTTCGTCTACTCTTAACTTATATAATCTATCAAATATTTAAATTTTATTTGTATATCATAATTATATAGTTTTTATTCAAAAAAAATTTTTTTAATTGGAAATTATTCTTCGTAAGAATTAAGAACATATATTTAGAATTGTACAAAGCTAGATTAAAATAAATTATGTATCACCAAAGAAAAAATTTGCTTGTTTATGAATTTTGAAAAATTATTAGAAACTACCTAATGGTTGAAATTCTTTGTCTTTATAATCTGGAATAATGGAATCGATTATTTGATCTTTACATGCCATTCGAATTCGTTCACATGTTGCTGGTATATTTAATGTAAATGATTCTTTTCCTGGACGATACGCTGAAATAGCATGTTTTATAGCAAAATATACAGTTGCCGATAGAAATAGAGGTGGTTCACCAACAGCTTTCGATGAATAAACAACAGCATGTTCACTTGATTCATGTTCACTTAAAAGTGTAATACGAAAATCAATTGGTACATCATTTGCCATTGGAATTTTATATTTATTTGAATCAGCATTATGAAGAGAACCTTGTTGAGAAATCCATGGATGTTGAGAATCACCTTGTATAAGTTCTTCCATAGTAAGATAACCAACACCTTGCATGAATGCACCTATAAGAAGAGAAGAAAGATATACACTGAAAAGTTGTTATAAATTGCAATAAACTGTTTTCTTACCTTCAATTTGTCCAATATCAATGGATGGATTCAATGATTTTCCAAAGTCCATTAAAATATCTGTTCTTAAAATATGAAAATCTCCAGTTAAACAATCAATTTCAACTTCACTCATTCCAACTCCTTGTGTAAAATACATAAAATTAACTTCACTATTTTCGAAATTATTCTTTATAAACTTGTCCGGTACACTATAAAAACCACTGGCAAATAATTGTATACGATCATTATATGCTTGTTCACATAATTTTGGCCATGTTAAAGTTGGATGTTTACGTTTTAATGGTGCAAGATTTTTATTTATTTGTTGACAAGCATTAATCAAAGCTGGACCGTAGATATCTGCTGATAATGATCCAACTGTTGCAGTTGTATTTGGTATTTTATCAGTTGCAGTTTCAAATAAACGAACAAGTGACATATCAATATCAAGTTGTTCAGCTGTAATTTGCATCATTTTCACTTGAAGACCTTGACCTATTTCAACTCCTAAAATACACGAATAAAGAAAATTTCAATTTAAACGATTTTTTTTTCAAAACTTTAGACTTACCTCCATGTGTAATTAACACACTTCCATCCTTATAGATATTTATTAATGCTCCAGCTTGATGAAAAAATAAAGCTGATGTAATTCCAATGCCAAATTTTGTTCCAGTCATATTTAATCCTCGTTTTCGAAATTCATTTTTTTTATTGAATTCTTCAACATCTTTTAAGCGTTTTTCATATTCAGCTGTTTTTTTTAATTTTGTCCACATTTCTGGTACATGCCAATCTTTCTTTTCAATTGTTTGATTAAAATATGTTTTCTCACCAGGTTTATAAATATTTAATTCGCGTATAATTGATGAATCACCATTTGGTTGTAAATAAGTACTAATTTGATCGAGTATAATGTCAGCTGCTAATAGACCTTCTGGTGCACCAAATCCTCTCATTGCAGTATTACTCGGTAGATTCGTTCGACACGCTCGTCCTCGCACTCGCATATTTTCACATTTATAAATATTATCACAATGTGTCATTGTACGTTCAAGCATAAAAAGACTTGAATCTGCTGAACAGCCACCATTACCAAAAAGACGTATATCAAGAGATTTCAGTTTTCCATTTTTAAGAAAACCAACTTTATAAAGAATTTTAAATGGATGACGATGACCAGTTATTTTCATATCTTCTTCACGTGTAAGACGTAAACGTACAGGAAGTTGTAGCTCATAAGCAGCTAAAGCAATTGCAATACATGGAATCATATTTCGTGATTCTTTACCACCAAAACCACCACCAACACGTGTAACATGACAAGTGACTTCATTTGCATTAAGACCTGTTAATGAAAAATTTAATTTCGACGATTTTTATATGTCTTCCCTTTAACTCATTAAATAAATTACCTAAAACTTCTGCAATTGCTGTTTGTAATTGAGTCATTGCTTGTGTTGTTGAATAAACATGTAATTGTGTATAATGTCCTTCACTAACAGGCTGTACAAGATAAGCATTTGGTTCCATATAGAAATGTTCCTGTGCACCAATATAAAATGTTCCTTCTAAGATATGATCTGATTTTTTAAATCCTTCATCTATATCTCCAATTTGTAATAATTTTTCTTGTTTACCAGGTGGACCTAAATAACTTTCATTTTCTATTGCTTCATCAATTGTCAGAATTAATGGACTTAATTCTTCATATTCAATTTTTACTAATACAGCAGCTTGTCTTGCATGTTCTTCAGTATCTGCGACACATAAACCAATTATCATATCCATACAGTGAACAACTTTTGAAGGAAATATTTCTTCATCTTTTATTACTAGACCATGTTT